ATATGAATATATAAGAAACCAGACCATTCAAACAACCATTCAACAAGAGAACCAATCAGCTGCTCAGGATTTAACTGTAGCTCCAAACAAACAACCAATCACATGACCAGCTGACACACTGGCACACAAGACATTTATAAGCTAAGGAAAATAGGAGAAGAAAATCCTGCTGATGTTACCTAGTCTGGTAACAAAAAAAAAGCTAATTTGAAACAAGCTTGGAGAGCAAACCACTACCAAAATAGTTCATAATTGCTGTTAAGAATCATAGGTGGCTGTTTACTGGCAGAGTTTTGTTAACTCTTGAAATGTATGTAATGTCAACAGTTCACACCAGAGGCCAGCTTTTAAAATGTATAAAAATAGCTATATAAAATACATAATTGGGTTCTGCTCATAATCTGTCTAGAAATGGGAGATGGAGCTGCGGTTTCCGGAAACTGCTCCAGTCGATGTCTTGAAACAAGAATTTCCTTGCATCCATGTTTACAAGAGCATGTTGCACTGAGATTTTCTATGTGCATTGCTTGTGACCTTCGGGATTTGGATTAGATAGAAAGCTTTACAGGAATCATTGTTTTCTGCTTATGACATCTGTTTTCCTAGCCTTTCGGTGAAAGTTATTTTATTAGCATTTTAGATTTTGTCCTAGCTTTTGGAGGTCATCAACCAAGCCATCATCTTCCATTCAGCTGCTGCTGCCGCCAGTACTACCTCAGGCACCCCAAGGAAAATGATAAGCTTGTTCCCTAGAACCTAAGTCCTAATGTGACTTCTCTCTTCCCAGTTAACCTCACATTAAGCCAGTGGGTGGAAGAAGTAAAAAGCTTGTTGGGAAAGCAGAGAGAAAGTGAACTTTACCCAGATTCACACTTGCTCTTTCCCTTTGCCCATTCCACTGGACCCTGGTAGCATATGTGGTATGATGACCTCAGCAGGTTTGCTCTTTTAATCCATTTCTTTGTCAAAAACAGAGATCATGCTTGTTTTTCTGGCTTAAATGTTTTAATTTCTCTGCATGAAAACCACTGCTGGGCTTTGAAACTTAGAAACGGGCAAACCCTTTTATCAAATGCAAAATGTTCAGTGTGTGTGTCAGACACTGCTTACTAAGGTATCTGTTTGCATTAATTCTGTTCAGTGTTGCACAAAATTATTGGCATCTTGATAGGGAAAACTGCTGGCTTCCTTGACTTCCTCAGTAATGCTGTCCTGATCTTGCTTGCTTGCTTACACAAAGTTCAGATTTTGAGGCAGGAGCATCTTTTCCTCTTGAAACTTTTAACGTTCAGACTGAGCTGTTCTGCTCATGAAGTTAACTAAGACAAAGCATACATGTTTCTTGTTCAGAATTATCCAATGCAAACGAGTGGTCTTACTTGCTATAGCTGCCAAATACCTGCAATTGGTTGAATTTCCTGTAGCACAATCACGACTTGCAGTGGCAAAGTTTTCCCTGTCTCCAAAAGTTTGGCATATTGTTCAGATGCTTAGATTCAGTCTCACATGGTGTACTAAGATGTAATATACAATTGTCACATCGCATAATGCAACATATTGAAGCTTGCTCAGGAGAATATTCTCACCTTTTGGTCTCTGCGTCGGCCCTCTGTGCCCTCCAGGTTTTGGGGAAGAGATGGCTGCACAGAGAGGAGGGATCTGCTCAGCTGATGGGTGACAGATACAGTTAGGTGTTACCGCACAGCTGATCCTAAGTTTGGAATCAATAGATTTATCCCAGAATTTAGAGATCAGTAGATTCCCTACCTCTTTTTCTTATCTTCCCTGTTCTAGAACAGCACAATGATTGGGTGCTATCTAAAAGTTTTTATCATTGGCAGAAAACAGTCCTTCCTCCAGAAATATATTCTCTTCATTCTGTAGCATTTTTCAAAGTGAGCCTACAATAAAAAACCTTCTTAGAAAATTTCACTTTGCGATGGAATGGACTGTAACTAAGGGACATCTAAGCCAAGAGGTAGGCACTACATTTCCCTCAGAGCAGGTTAACATCCTATACTAGGAGTTTTGGTCTTCCTCATGTTCCATCAGGCTTAGCCTAAGCCAACCTGGCAGCTATTTTCATCCTTCACTCTGCACATTGAGATTGTTGACTTGGCTTATCCTTGATCGCAGTGTTTATTTCATTTAGTTTGGTTTACTTTTAAAATTCCCTCTCACAACTTGCCTTCCTCTGCTCTAAAAGAGAAGTACAGAAAGCTAAGGCAAATAACCACCTCCTGATAGTAAACCTTGAAGCATGTAGGTAGTATCCAATTCTCCTGTCCAGTAGAATTCTGTACATATCAAAAGCTTTCATACAGAAAGCAGTAGAGGCTGTGCAGATAAGGGAGAGATTGTGTAACCAGTTTTATGTTTGTACTCTTCTAACATTCATTCTGTAGCAGAAAAAAATCACAATTTTTCTTTTAACACATAATGCCATGCTAATGTTACAGAAAGAACTGAAGACTTTTTGTTACTGTACTGTCTTGATCCATTTAAATTCGTGTTTCTGATTTTCAAAATTCAACTTCACTTTAGTAACTTTTTGTGAAAAACAAAAACAACAACTTATGTGCTCGCTCAAGTCTGGACTGTTCCAAATTTTCAGGTAGTAGCTTCTGCTATGGAAGCTTTTTTTTTATTACGCAGAGTGCTACATTATCATGGCTGCCTTTGCTCTGTCCCTCACCGAGATTTGGGGGAAAGCAATCTCAAGAAACTGCCAACACTTTTCCGGCATTAGGAGGGGAAGAGGGCAGAGGAGAAAGAGCCCTTTCAATTTTCCCCTCCTGAAATTGTTTTATTTGAAATAAATTGTGAATTTCTAATTTTAATTAAGTGTTCTGTGGTGTTTACTCTGGGCTATGTTTTCATATTTATGTGATCTCCATGTTTGGAAAAAAAGGACATTAATAGAGCAGGAAAAAGAATTGGGCAAAAAGAAAAAGTTCAAGTAGGTTGAATATTTTCCCTTCTGAGAACAGGCTAAAAAGTTTAAGATTCCTTAGGTGGAAAAAAAAGGACAGGAAGTTTTTATTCCCCCTATTTTTCAGTCAATTATTTTTTATTAGCTTATCAAAATATAAAATACAGAAATGCAAAGAAAAATTAAAACAATGGGGAAGTAGGGGAGGAAAAGGAGGAGAGGAAAAAGTGCAGGACAGAGGAGGGGAAAGAAAAAATAGCATTGATGAGGTAATAACATACCACCTCAACTTTTTACTTTTACATAATACATATTAGCCGTTTTTATAACAAATCTATCAACAAAACCCAAAATCTATGTTTCATTTTTTTCCACCTCAAGCACCAAGTCCAAAAATGGTTTCCAAGTAGAAACAAAATTAATAGTATTCTTTTCTTTAATCAAAACAGTCAATTTAGCCATCTCTGCTAAATCCAACTTTTGCAACCATTCATCCATTTGAGGAAAATTCTTCCCCTGTCAAAACACTAGAATTGAGGATCATCAATGGAATTCATTGAAAGGAGATTTGGAAGAGACAAAATTAGATTATTTCTTCACATAGCACACCAAACTCTGGAATTCATTGCCGTGAGATGTGGAGATTATGACTAATCTAGATAGTTTTAAAGGGGTAAATGTATACAGAGGTCAAGTCTATCCAGGGCTATTGGTCTTAATATTCCGTTACTACTGGGCTGCAGGCACCTTGCCTCCAAACAAAAGTTGTAGGACCATAACTTTGGGGCTAAAGTAAATCTTTAGCCAGTTTAGCCCTTGGGTCCGGTCTATTCTTCTGCTTTGGTCATGGAGATGGATTGAAGTTTTGATCAGATCCATTTATCACACACTGGTGTACTTTTCCACCCTTCCTACCCAGACTTGGAAAGCAAGCATCAATTGCTTTCCTTTGACCAGGACTTTTGATAAAACTTTTTGCATTAGCTCCTCAGTTGATTTACATCAGTGAGGCTGTGAAAGGAAAATATTTCCATGTTCTCACTTTGGCTAGGAGGGGAACTACCAATTTTATTTGATTTTAAAAAGGCCTATCATTTCACTGGTCCATTATCAAATTTGTTTAAAAAGGAGGCCAGATTTTCATCAGTCCTGTTGAACTTACTTAAAAATTGGAGAGGAAGTGACGTTCCTGCCATAATGCACTTTAGCCAATTGGAGCAAGGGTGAGGGAGCTGCCCACAACCAAATGAAGCACAGGTGAACTGAATAAATCACTTGTGCTGGTACAGATTAGAAAGCTGATCAGCCAGAAGATAAACTTCCTAGTTAGCTGTAAACCATGATATTGCACATTCCTGCCCTGGGAAAGAGTGGCCCATACTGTCCCTGGGGAAGCTAGTCTTTTACCTTACCAACCTTTTTCCCATTTTTGGTAAAAGATCATATATAAGCAGGGTTTAAATGTGAAATTAGGCATGAAACCAGCTGGGTGACTTTGCTCAGCCCAATTCACCATACAGGGGGTAGTTCTAGGGAAAATGAGGAAGGCAACTTTTGCAACCTGACAAAAGTCAGTGGGGACACCAGATTCACTTAGCAATCGTGTTACTTACTAAACTGCATTGCTAACTTAACTGTGGCAAGAAAGGTTGTAAAATGGGGCAAAACTCAATTGTCTCAATTAACAGAAATTTGGGGCTCAATTGTGATTGTTAAATTGAGGATTACCTGTATTAATTCCTAGAGTTATTTATAATAAAGGCAGATAAAAATCTAATAAATCTAATAAATTTTGCAGTCAATAGCATGGTAGTTAGCAAGATGGCCAAAAGAAGAAATCAGACGTAAACAACGGTAACTTTTAAAGATTCTGCCAGCCCAGATACTGTACGCACAGACTGAGTCTTAAACCTATCGTTCTGATATTTTGTGATGAACAAACTCTTCAAAAGCACGCTACAGATTAGGTTAAGGCCCCAGCAAGTTTGCTTCAGAAATGCAAAGCTAACGCAAGAGGCGTTTTGCCCTTACTAAAAATGGCTTCAGATTCAGAGCATGAAACCGATGACGCCCTGTTCAAAAATGGCTTCCTACGTTACGGGCAATGAAGGAATGAGCGCGACTGTCGAGTTATCGGCGCTAAAATGACTCTTCCAGGGAGATAAAATCTCAGCCTCCAAGGCATGAGGCCTCGCTGTTAGAGTTCGTCTTATACTGCGGCTTGGACCACATCTCATTCAATTTCGGCTCTTTGGACCGGAAGGCCGCAGCCGCGTCGCTTCGTGCGTGGTGACTCCATGCTGTAGCGTGACGTTCGGAGGAGAGTTTCCCAGCCGCGCTCACGCGTGGTTGCCGTGGTAACGCTTCACCGAGCCTGGCCTAGGATGGCTGCGGCGGCCGGGGCAGCGGTGGCCGCGGCGACAGCCGAGCCGGGCGACGGGCCGCTCCTGCCAGGCCCTCCCGTCGGGAGACGGGCCGTCTGCTCCCGACCCTACTTCGTCGTGCTGATGGTGTTCGCGCATCTCTACGTGATCAACGTTCTGGGCTTGCTGCTTTTCGTGCACATCAGCTCCGACGATGGGGGGGACCCGGAGCCCAGGAAAGAGCCTCCTGGCCCCGTCCAGGAGGCGCCCGTACTGCCCGTTTCTTCAGGCAACTTGGACCCTCAGGCTCTGCCTCGCCTGCAGGGCATTAAGGCAAGCGCTTTTCCGCGGGCGACGAAAGGGGTGGGTGGGGGAATCGGGGCTGCTTTTTCGGGAACTCCTTTTGTCGGTTTTTGCTCGAAATGAAAGTTTTAAAAAGCGAGGAGAAGCCCGTCCCCCACCTCGGAGCAGCCCCGTCTCCTCTGGCCTCTGGTAAGGCGTCTGCACCGAAACAGCAGCCTTGAGGCCAGGGCTGAGTCCCCGCTCTCCCCTTCAGGTGACGTCGCTGCTTGTCTTTGAACTCTGTATCCCTCCATCAGGAAAGCTATGGCAAATCTAGACAGCATACTAAAAAGCAGAGACGGCACCCTGCCAACAAAAGTACGTATAGTCAAGGCCATGGTTTTCCCAGTTGCAATGTATGGCTGTGAAAGTGGGACCATAAGAAAGGCTGAGCCGAAAAGAATTGAGGCCTTTGAACTATGGTGCTGGAGAAGACTCCTGCGAGTCCCTTGGACTGCAAGGCGTTCAAACCGGTCAGTCCTAAAGGAGATCAACCCTGACTGCTCTTTAGAAGGCCAGATCCTGAAGTTGAAAATCAAGTACTTTGGCCCCCTAATGAGAAGGAAGGACTCCCTGGAGAAGAGCCTAATGCTGGGAAAGGTCAAGGACAATGGAAGAAAGGGAGGACAGAGAATGAGGTGGCTGGATGGAGTCCCTGAGGTAGTAGGCATGAGTTTAAATGGACTCCAGAAGATGGTAGAGGACAGGAAGGCCTGGAGGAACGTTGGCCATGGGATCGCGATGGGTCAGACACGACTTCACAACTAACAACAACAATCCCTCCATCCTGGTCCCCAGTCACACCGGTGGGAGAAGCTGGCAATCTTAAAACTATCGCTTATGACAGGTCTCCCTTTAAAGAAAGCCTCCTTGGATATTTCCTGTAGTCATCGATTTGCCATCTCACATTTTGATCCCAATATATGCATAATATACAGGTAATCCTCGACTTATGACAGTTTGTTTAGTGACCGTTCAAAGTTACAACAGCACTAAAAAATGTGACTCATGACAGTTTTTCATCGTTATGACTGCGTGGCATCCTGTGGTCACAGGATCAAAATTCAGATGCTTGGCATCTGACTCATATTTATGACCATTGCAGTGTCCTGGGATCATGTGATCACCTTTTGTGACCTTCTGACAAGCAAAGTCAATGGGCCAGTCAGATTCATTTAACAACCATGTTATTAATGGAACAACTGTGGTGATTTACTTCACAACTGTGGCAAGGAAGGTCATAAAATGGGACAAAATTCACTTAACAAATGTCTCACTTAACAGAAATTTTGGGCTCAATTTTGGTCGTAAGTTGAGGACTACCTGTAATCCTTATTTTAAAAAGGATGCTTGACATCCTTTTTCTCCCCCCCCCCCAATCAGTTTTTCAGATTTTTTTTAACATCTCCCTTTCTCAGTGGTGGAGAGGAATTTCAATTTCAGTTGAAAAATGGAGTGAGGAGTTAACATTATCTTCTATAAGTGTATGCACATTCTCTCAACTCACCATCCCAATCTGGATAGTTGCCTTATCTTTCGTGTTAAGAAAACAGTAAGATTAACATACAAGGTAACCTGGATCTTCAGAAATAGGTGCTGAAGAAAATTATTTAAATTCTTTTAGATGCTTATTTTGTTCTTTGTACAACTGCACATTTCATTAAGAAAAAAGGTGGACTGTTTCCTTGCTACCTTTTTAAGGGCTACTAGTTAAATGTTTGCAATTTGTGCATTTATCTTAAACTAAATTCCCATTCAGTTCAATGAATCCTTTTGATGGTGTTAAAGATATTGTCACAGGATAAATTATTATGGCTAGTTGCAGTCAGCTACATGTTTAGACTGTATTTGGCATTTACATCCAGCTATTCGTTTATTTGTTTGTTTATATAACATATAGTCACTCGTCTTTCAAACAACTCTGGGTTTCCTAATTAAAAATTAAAAGGCATATAAAATCATATTAAAGCTAAAAATGCAACTTGAAAAAATATTAAAAACAACAAAAACTCGGTGCCAAATCGGTTCTCATGTCCAATCTAGTCTTCTCTGAATGCTGGGGGAAAAGCCAGATCTTTAAAGCCTTATGGAAGGCTAAAAGAGTGGAAGCCTGATAGACTTCAGGAAGCAGAGTGTTCCATAGGCAGGGGTTATTATTACTATCATCTTTGTAGAACTCGTCTACTTCTCAGTAGTAGTAACTGTGAGAGGGATCTCGGAGTCCTAGTGGAGAATCATTTAAATATGAGACAGCAGTGTGCTGCAGCTGCCAAAAAAGCCAACGCAGTGCTGGGCTGCATTAACAGAGGGATAGAATCAAGATCACGTGAAGTGTTAATACCACTTTACAATGCCTTGGTAAGGTCACACTTGGAATACTACATCCAGTTTTGGTCACCATGATGTAAAAAAGATGTTGAGACTCTAGAACAGTGGTTCTCAACCTGTGGGTCAGGACCCCATTTGGGGTCGAACGACCATTTCATGGGGGTCGCCAAACAAGGATGTCCGCCATTTTTTCCCCCTTTTCTTTGGCCATGCCCCTGGCACCCGGTGATGTATAAGTGGTTGGGGGTCACCACAACATGGGGAACTGTATTATGGGGTCGCGGCGTTAGAAAGGTTGAGAACCACTGCTCTAGAAAGAGTACAGAGAAGAGCAACAAAGATGATTAGGGGACTGGAGGCTAAAACATATAAGGAACGGTTGCTGGAATTGGGTATGTCTAGTTTAACGAAGAAAAGGACGAGGGGGGGACATGATAGCAGTGTTCCAATATCTCAGGGGCTGCCACAAGGAAGAGGGAGTCAAGCTATTTTCCAAAGCGCCAGAAGGCAGAACAAGAAGCAACAGGTGGAAACTAACCAAAGAGAGAAGCAATCTAGAACTAAGGAGAAATTTCCTGACAGAACAATTAACCAGTGGAACAACCTGCCTCCAGAAGTGGTGAATGCTCCAACACTGGAAGTTTTTAAGAAGAAACTGGAAAGCCATTTGTCCGAAATGGTATAGGGTTTCTTGCCTGAGCAGGGGGTTGGACTAGATGACCTCCAAGGTCCCTTCCAACTTTATTATTATTATTATTATTATTATTATTATTATTATTATTATTATTATTATTATTATTATCTCTCTAATACTTGAGGTTTCCTATCTGTAATGAATTTTCCTAGATTATAGATATGAAAAAGATGTTAAAATAGATGGTGTTAATTTGGGGACAACAGAGTTAGATGAAATACTCACAGGAACGGAAGAAAAATGGATTAAAAAATGTACAGTTATCTACTACATATGGAGTTAGAGAAGGAACAAGTGAAAGAGAATGATAAAATGGACAAGGAATTTTGAATACACAATTGAATTAGATAGATGGCAGCAACTATGGGAAAGAAACTATAAATTGACAATGGCGACTGCGTATAAAGAAAATATGTACAAAATGTTTTACAGATGGCACATGTCTCCAGAAAGATTAGCTAAGATGTTTAAGGACAGGTCTATGAAATGTTGGAAATGTCATCAGATACCAGGTTCCTTCTACCATATGTGGTGGACGTGTGTAGAAGCTAAAACTTATTGGAATATAATTAGAACATGGATAGAAAAGATGATACAACAACGAATAGAACTAAGACCAGAAATATTCCTGTTGGGTATTCTACCAAAGAAATACAATAAAGAGAAAACATATTTAATTATTCATATAATCACAGCAGCCAGGATTGTGTTTACACAAAATTGGAAAGCACTGAAAGCCCCCCCACCAGAGGGAGAGGTGATTGGGAAAATACTGGAATATGCAGAAATGAATAGACTAACAATGACAATTAAAGATAAGGCAGAGTCAGACTATTATGAAATCTGGGGAACTTTTTATGACTGGCTGGAAAGAGAATATGGTTAAAAGATAATTAACATCAATTTAGATGGAAGAAGAAGGAGCAGATAAGGAGGGAGACCCAAGCGACACAGTATTGAATAACTGGAGGTTGTATAAATATTTATAGAAGTATATACCGAGAAGGTTAGATAAATAGAAGTATTAATGTAAGAGAAAATTAATCTTATTGTATATAATACAGATAGGGAAATTTGGAGAGAGGAGTTGCTGGGACATTACCCCTGAATTGTATCTGAAGAGGGATGAGAGGGAAGAAAGGAGAGGAGAGAGAAAAGAGTAAAGGAGAGAAGGAAATAGGAAGGTTGGAGGAGAAGAGGAGAAGTGGGGAGAAAGGGGAGGAGAGTGGTGAAGGAAAGAGAAGAGGAGAGGAAGAAGAGGGAAGGGAAGAGAAGAAAGGGAGAAAGAAGGTAGAGAAGGAGTGTGGATACAGTGAAAGGGGAAATGGGCAAGCAACACCAAAAGTCATGTGTATGTATTTATTTCATTTTATCAAAAGCATCTTATATATGAATGTAAAAAGAATGTATGTTAACATCTGATAACTATCACGGTATATGTATGGGGGAGAGTTTGGAAAAATAAAAAATTATTTAAAAAAAAAGAATTTTCCTAGATTGATTTTTAAGTGTTGCCATTACTTATGTCTACTTTTAAGAGAAATGCAGTTACTATACTTGTACAGGAAATAAGTTACAAAGCCTTCTGACAGTTAAATATGTTTTTGAAAATGGTATTCTGAATGCAGTCATGGAAATGCAGAATGCTATGTATTGGCACTCTGCTACAAAATAACATTAGATAATTATAAATGTAAACTTGTTTTCCTAGTGACTAAAAAAGAAGCATTATGTTTGCTTTATAAGCTGCTATAAACAACCCCACTAACTATTCCAACATTCTCCAAAGATACTTTGCAAATGTTTCAACAAGTTGTCTTGATCAGCATGGAAAGTATGTTGTCTCCATGAGCAAACTAAATCAATGAAAATATATATTGTTTATTTCATTTCCATCTTCATTCCTGGCAATGCTTAACAAACTTTTACATCAGTAATATTTTATCAAATATTTTATCTAGTGAAAAGAGTTTAAATTTATGCTTATTTTTAGGCATGCCGGTGTTTGTGCATCCTTTTATAGTTTAATTAAACATGCTACTGCTCAGCATCATCACTGGGTCCTGTCTGGAAAGCTTAAAGTTTGCTTATACGTAGGTGAAAGTTTTTGACCAAATCACAACTATAACTCTTTTAACGTGTGTGACATAATTCTACATATAGGATTAAACCAGTTAATTCATTACTTTATTGTCTTTTAAAGGTGGGCCATAAACAGAAGTTGCAACTGGTTCCTAACAAAATCCATGTTATGAAAACTCTCAGCTTGAAACCACTTCTTTTTGGTAAGAAGTAGAGGCTATTTAAAAATATATGTGTACATCCTGTTCCAAGTTCTAGGTATATTATGATAGGAGCAATCTGTCTTTTGGTCTAGCATATTTATAAACCACTTGCCCTTGGTAAAACCAGGACATAATTATCTTTTGTTTCTCTTGGTCATAGAGAGTCAATTGTGGTCTTCAAAGTAACGAAAGCTGTCAACCACTTCATATGTAAAAAACATGTATGCATGTTTATATTCCCCAGCCTCTTGGTGCTGCAGCAATTTCCAGCTTGTATTTCAAATGTCACCTGCCAGGTTTTTCCATCAAATCTCTGAAGACAGAGACAAGGCCTCTGTTTTCTGTAGCCTATTAACTTTATGTGTAAGAGAAGGTTAGGAGCAATTGCCAACTTTTTCTTACATACACATTGTTCTTATTCTCTATCATTAATAAGAAAGAAATGAAAGAAAAAAAGATCCACTTTTGTTGAGTTCTGATTGAGTTAGAACAATTGTAGATCATTGTTTTATTGAATCTAAAATGGTACTTCACCAATGGTTTTATTAAAAGAACTGAAAGGGGTATCACCTAGATCAGGGGTGTCAAACTGCCGGCCCGTGGACCGGTTGCATCATGCAGAGGCTGCGCCCACCTCAGCTCCGGCAATGCGAAAAAAGTCACGATATGTCATGACATGTCACATGACGTGGCGAGTTTGACACCCGTGACCTAGATGGAGCTGATGGCAAATATAACTTCTAATAGCCAATAGGAATATACTAAAAGCACTCTTGAATGCAGTTAGGTTACCTTTCTCTTCCTAATGAACAAATTTAATTTTCCCCTTATTTATATCTTATGGTAGAATTCTTTGATCCTGATAATATTTTGGAAATTACTTCAAAAAACAACAAACTGATATTTTGTAGTATTTTGTGATTTGCATCCTCCATTAAAAAAAAATTAAATGCAACAGAGAGGCCCTGCTTCAACATACTCACTGATAAACAAGGGCTAAGTTGATAATGTAGAGCCGGTTTCCAAGATTCTACAACTTATCCCCTTGTTTCTTGCAATATGTACTCTGAATTTTTGAGAAAATTGCTTTCTAGATTGTGTGCTGCCATAAGGGCTTGACATATTCCTTTCTTCTTTCTCTCATACACATAGGGCCTAGATATTTTGTACAATTGGTATGTTTTCCTCCTCAGAGTTCCATAGATAGTTTAATAAAAATTAAACATTGTCCTGTGCATCTTGCATCTTGCATACACAATTAAAAACAAATTAAAATCTTATTTTTTAAAATTCTTCTCCAAAGATTACTAAAACATGTTTCCCTAATCCTGTCTAAGGTTACTTCCTCACTAGAGAATTATGCTTTTAATACCCAAAAGCTCTCATTAATTTACATTGGCACAGAGATACTATAACATCAATAAATCATATAATGGAAAGGGTCCATTTAGGTAAACAACCACAAGTTTTCCCAATTTCAGCTGTGTAATTAAAGTCTTTCCTCACTACAGTTTTATGCTACCTTGAAAATCTGCAGATTTTTTTTTTCAGAAGGCATCAGCCACATCTTCTTGAATAAGTTAACTGAAGGCGTTGCCTTTATTTGTTCCTCCACTTATTTTAACATCTCTACATATTGCTAAATTCATTCCCTCAGGTTTATTAATATGGAAAATATAGTGAGAAACTAAGCATTCTTGTTTATTTTAAAATAACTTTTTAAACCACATGCACACTGTTAGCATTAGTTTCTAAATGCATAATATTTCTAATTTGTGAATTTTAGAAAGATTTCCTTTTAGGTACAGTATTTGAGTCTATTCATGTAAAATGCAAAATAATATTTGAGCAAAAGAAAACTAATTAAAGGTAGAAGCTTGAGATGATGCCAAGGAAATAGAGAATCATTAAGTGGTTCCTTCTAAGCAGTTTGGGCCTAACGTTTGTCATATTTCTATCACCACACAAACAGTTTGTAGATTTCAGTTCTGATTTCATGACTGAGCAGTTTAGGAACTGCTCTGGAAGAGATTCAGTAGCGTGCAAAACCTCCCAGAATTTCCCAAATTTGCAAATAACCTGTGAATATTTTTTATGTAAAATTCATATTTCTTAACTGCCCATCTCCCTCAGAGAAGGGCTCTGAGCAGTGTACAATATAATCAATAACATTATCATTAAAATCAGAATTAATTTAAAATTAAAAGTTTTAAAATTATAAAAATTACATTATAAAATTACAAAAGGTAAAGAATCCCAAGAGGGAACATTAGCAGTTCTTAATGCAGGTGAGAGTTTTCTCATGGAGCCTCCAAGCCCCATGGTTGTGTGAGCCTCTGTGACCCCCATGCTGGCCCCACAGCCACGTTTTGACCCCTTTGTGGAAGGACAAAGGACTGAAGGCTTTCCTCACCTCTGAGGGCAGGGTGCAGAGACATCGGTGCAGAGACATCGGTAAAGAAGGCCCTCCTCCTAGACCAGGGTTAGGCATCCTTGGCTCTTTTATGACTCGTGGACTTCAACTCCCAGAATTCCTGAGCCAGCATGGCTCAGCTTGGAAACCTCTCCCTTTCCCCTCAGCATGGCTGGCTCAGAAATTCTGGGAGTTGAAGTCCACAAGTCATAAAAGAGCCAAGATTGCCTACCCCTGTCCTAGACCCTGCCAATCAAGAGAAAATTTGTTAGTATCTGCTCAGAAGTTGGGGATATGCATTGATTCCTTGAATGTACTCAGTGAAATAAGGTGAAATGAATTCTGCTTTCCTTTAGGCAATTCTAGATGATTTCCGGATGGAGATTATTGGCAATCTTGCTATATAGGTAGGCCTACCAGGGGTAGGCAACCTTGGCTCTTTTATGACTCGTGGACTTCAATTCCCAGAATTCCTGAGCCAGCCAGCCATGTTGGCTCAGGAATTCTGGGAGTTGAAGTCCACGAGTCATAAAAGAGCCCAGGTTGCCTACCCCCTGGCCTAGACTTAACAAGTGTTGAAATGAGGGCAGTCAAATTATCTTGAATGATGCCCACCTGAATATGTTAGAGTTCTGATTGAGTCATTGTGTTGTTTGCCTGCCTAATCATTTTTAAAATCACTGTTTTTTTCTCTCTCTTTGTTTAGGGGGAAAGCAATATTAATTCAGAGACATTTGTTTAGCTGGATCAAGTATTGGAGTTTTGATTGCCAGAGCTTTGTGAACTAGTTAGCAGAGTTTGGGTGTGAACTTGGAAGTTTTATTTGCTTACAGGATGTAATTTGCAAGATTTCTATTTTAAGTATGAAACAGAAAATTAATTGCGGATAGTGGTATGCATCTTATTTTGGCATGAAATTAACTTATCCCTGGTCTTTATTGAAAACATTGCCCTCTCAGTGCAGTTCAATGAAAGCCTTTTAAAACTTAACAGTAGATTGCTTGTTGTTTTCCTCATTACAAATTTATTTAATCAACAGAGGGCAGGAAAGTTAAGGACAATGGTCCTCTAAGAGAAGTGTGTTTTCTTCAATGTACTCTTTGCTATTTTTATTTCTTGTGAAGCAGGTAACAGTTTCTGTGCTCTGCTGAAAGGCTGAGCCTAAACTTGTATCATAAATCATAGTTTATGGCTTAGCCTTAGTGTGATCTGTTTTTCTGATTTGTTCACAGATATTTAGGCAAAATACCTTTTTATAGGATTGGAAACTTTGGGATGTGTACTGAGATATTAGTTCCTTGCCTCATAACTGTGAAATATTTGGACCCAACTATTTCCTGCCTTCATAAATCATCTTAAACATCAATACTGGCATTTAAGTAGCTTTGGATTTTTGAATGTTCACCTTTGGATGGGAAAATCATTTTCTTCTGCCTTTCTTCCATGTTAGAAATCCCAGATTTCCTGAATGAAGATGAATGTAAATTAATTATACATTTGGCTCAGCTGAAAGGCCTACAGAAAAGCCAGATTTTGCCCACAGAAGATTACGAAGAAGCCATGGAAATGATAGATATCAGCCAGATGGATATCTTTAATCTGCTAGATCACAACCAGGATGGACAACTGCAACTTAAGGAGGTATTCAGAATGGAATAATTGGCTATTATCTGGGAAATATCAACCTCATTCAGATATAATTCTGAATCAAGTCCTGTACGAAAAGGACTGAGAGCCTTGGGCTGGCTCATACCCCTGCACTGTTAAGATGAGAAAATTAAATATATTTGTTAAAGTTTGTAATTACATTTGAACTTGGATAAACTGCACTTTGTTTTAACTGATGTTTGTTCTAACAAGCCAACTTCAATATATGATACATTCTCCCTTTTATTTGGATAAACCAATCACTTCCTAGTCTGAATATAAGGAGAAACTGTGGTTAGTTAAAAACAGAGACATAATTTCCAGTTTTGCTTGTGTGGCTATGCCAAGAGAGGACAAAAAAAAAAAAAGGAGATGGGGAACTGTAAGATCCGGCGGCTTGCATCTGTAATGGAAAATAATGAGTTAGTCTTATATCTGAATGAAGTCATACTGTGTGAATATTAAACATTTTGAATTATCAGACCTTTACTATTGTGTTTTAACATCCTGGTACAATTCTGCATGTTGCATCATTGATACATATATGAGGACAAATCTCCAAACAAAACAAATAACTAGAGGAAATTTTGTTCCTGTCTAAAAAAACTAGTGGCCCTTTGTATATGCTGGGATCCTGTGCAACCAGAAATATGGGTGTTTCCTGGGTGCTTCATCGATTATCTGTTAATAGCATTTACCAGTTAATTTTTGAATTAGTGGATTCTACTAATGCAGTGGTTCTCAACCTGTGGGTCGGGACCCCATTTGGGGTCAAACGACCATTTCACGGGGGTCGCCAAACAACGCAGTCCGCCATTTTTTCCCCCTTTTCCTTAGCTGTGCTACTCCCTTTTATTCTATTGGCTTTTGAAAGCCAACAGAATAGATACTCTTGAATAGAGTCTAATTCTATTGGCTTTCAAAAGCCAATAGGAATTGTCCAGGCTGTCTCTGCCCTGCTGAGCCCACCAAAAGTCCCATTCTGCAAACGGTGCTGCACCAGTTGAGTAGTCCTTGACTTACGACTGATTGGGGGTCGCGGCATTAAAAAGGTTGAGAACCACTGTACTAATGCTTCCTGATTATATACACAACTCGTCTTCAGCAGGTCCTCTCTCTGCGCTGTGTTCCAATTGCAGGTGCTGACACATACCCGCCTGGGAAATGGTAGGTGGATGACACCTGAGAGCCTCCGGGAGATGTATGCTGCAGTCAAAGCAGACCCCGATGGGAATGGTAAGACAGAAGGCTTTTTAATGCACTGTGTAGCATTGTTCTCTTCCCTATTATTCTGCCACATTAGATTGGAACAAATATAAAAATAGTCATATCACAGTTTAGTGTTAATATTAGGATCAGATCAGAGGTTAACAAAAACAGCCCAAGTTGTAACTATCAACAAGCATTTCAGTGAATATAAAGCAACTTACATTTAATTTTATGGCCAATCAGACAGTGGCAAACACCAACTTTACTTTTTAAGCACTGCTGTGTGGTATCCGAAGCAGAACATCCAGATCTAGTCATAGTTTCGTTCCATACAGTATTAATCTTGTGAACTCTAAAGCTTCCCCTTTCCACTATGTACTGTAGTCAAGATGGTCAGTGATTAATATTTATATGTTATTTATATGTAAGAGTGTATACATATGTTGTATATAACATGTTTAAATGTGTGTTATGTATGTGTACACTTTTGAGAGGAAGCAACTAAATTTCATTTTTAATGTGCGCCAATGTGCCCACAGTAAACAAATGACAATAAAGGTTATCTTATCGTATCTTCCTTCTACCCCAAATGATACCTCTGCCTTTAGGTACTGACACTTGTTTAAAAGCCAGAGAATCATTCTTCTCTGTGATATTTTAACTTCAAATTTTGGATTTTTACTTGCATTCTCTTCTTTTAATTTCTGCTCTCCCACCCCCACGGCTTTTTGTTTGCTAATACTGTGCCTTTTATTAATTTTATATAGATAAACATTCCTACTGTCAACGCTGCAAATATTGTATATTCTTGCTTTTGACAATATGCAGAACTGTTTGGTAATTATGGGGTCAATACAGAGCAGAAGGGGGGTTGGTGGTAAAGCCCGGGAAAGAAAGAGGAAGAAAACCTATGACCTTCACACTAATTGGATAATGTGATATATGACCGGCTAATTTAGGGAGGGAACATGCTGATAATTTAACTGCTCAGAGGAAGAGAACTTAGATCCTAGCATCCCTCCTGTGCTGAAATTTTGTAACAATAAAAGACTTTTAAGAAAATAAATGCCTGGAAGTTCTTTGAAGTGTTTCATTAGCCGTAACCATAACACCTACTATTCAATAGCCCTTCCCCTCCACGTATGTTAGAGTTGCCCAGTTAAAGTAAATCTCATAGGGATCATCAGAGAAGGTTGGTTCCTGTGGTTCTGATGCGACATACCTCCTGACATCATGTTTACACTGATTAGTTTCTAGCCTGACATGGGCACATATGTTCTTTTCCTTCATTTTACCCAGGTGTTCTGAGTTTGGAAGAATTTAAACAATTGAACATTCGAGACTTTCACAAGTACATGGGTAGTCGAAAAGTGAAAATGAGCGATCTGGTGAGGAACAGCCAACATACATGGTTGTACCAAGGTGAGGGGGCACATCAGGTCATGCGCTCCATACGGCAAAGGTAAATTTATCTCACTCAGCAATTTTTACCAATTAGCCTTGCTGTCGGCTTGCTGATCGGTTTTGCATAAACCAGTGCACTTAATGCAGCTACTTAGCAAAACACTAAAAATCTAAATGACTTTTTGTGGGTTAGTGATATATAACTTATTTTTCCATCTATAAGACGCACCCTTGTATAAGACATTCTGGCGTGTGAGTTTCTCCATGCCGATCAGCTGTTCGGCGGAGCACCGAACAGCTGAGCCGGCAAATCTGGAAGTTTGGCCGGCCAACAATCTTGCCCCCCCCCCCGTTAGCGCAAGCCCACAGAGGCTTGACACCTGCAACCCACACAGGCATGCCCTGGGCTGCGGAGATTACCATTATTTTTCTGTGTATAAGACAACAAGGGGGTGTTTGCAGGAAAAAATAGCATTTTATACACGGAAAAATACGGTAAAATATGAGAAATAGTATTTGCTGAAAACTTGAGGCAACAGCATAGAGGGTAGAATTTCAAAAGGACAGGTTTTAATTAAAGCTGGTCACTATGTTTATAAACAGAATTTTCCTAATAGATTTTACTGCTTAAAATGTACATTTTCCTTTATCTTTGTTTTGAATATTTGAGTTAGAAAAAAAAAAAAGCTTTGGAAAGAGTGACCCATACTTATTCAGGTGAAACACAGAAAGAGATTGATTAGTATTTACAGCTCTTTTGCTCGATTTTATTAATTCTTGAGTAAAATGAGTTTTAGATTATTTTGATATTGTCATTTAAATCTAATATCTTTACACCAGGTGTCTCAAACTCAAATGAATATTAGACCACATAATATAAAATGTGGAAAGTGGTGCGGCGCATTTATGCATATGCAAAAATGCAACGAATATTAAATATTGATGTTAATAAAAATGAATGACTAAGTTAATACAAAACTTACAATAATTTATAATAATATAAAAATACTTGACTTTATTGAAAGGTAATAAAAGCTAAAATATGTTTCCTACTGTAAATCAGCATTATTATATTACTGATTGATTGGTCAGACTTGTATAGCTGCTCATCTCAAATGGATTATATGTGTGGCTGCAATGTCCAACATATCTATTGTCCCTTATCATACTGTTTTGTTGTTCTGTGCACACCCTGGCATGATGACAAATGGTGATGTCACCAGCAGTGATCCTTCTGCATCCGTTCAGGGCCATCACATAAAGTGCAGTGTCCTCCAACAAGACAAGACAACAAGGCAGGACGTGCTCTGCCTTAATTTTTGATCACAGGCCACATAAAATAATTCAGCAGGGGCATGCAGCCTACAAGCCAATGTTTGAAATTCCTGGTTTATACTTTGCCCTTTTTGAAGATAACATGTAAAAAAATATTTAAAAACAAATTTACGTTGACTTGTAGTAACTCTCGCTGACTCACATCTTCCTTGGGTTCTTGATTTTCCCCAACAGCATCATATGCAAGAAGTGCAACAAAATTTTAAAATGCCAAGCCAGAAAAAACTTGCATTTGTTCCGCATGATTTGCTGTTGCTTAAAAATAACAATTGGGAGGTGAATCAGAATCGTTTCGTCATAAAATGTTCTTGCTATAGCTCTACTGCAGATCCTCCTTGTTTCAGACTATTTGTCTTACCACTCTTACAGAATGGCTGGATGGCGTTGAGCATGTTTACCGAATTTTTTTTTTAGCCAGTGTGTTTAGAATTGCAACATGAATAGATCTCCCTCTGTGTTATTTTTTTTCCATGATTCTTTCTGAATAGTTTAAATCCTTCCTTATTTCTTCATGAGTTTCTATGTTCCATTTGTGTCTTAAGCAAGATTTTTTTGTACACTCCTTTTTTCGTATGGGAACAGATGCAGATGATCAGGGCCACCATTGTGAACAGAATGTTTTTTGAAACAACTCTGCCTCCATCAGCATGACCCTTTTTGAGTAATTATTAAGAAGCCCTTTACAAATGCTCAAAGTAATCTTGATGGTCTGAAACTGGCTAAGGGAATCTGAGTGGCTTGAATGCGAATATTTGTGGGCACCTGTTCACACTTTCTTTCCATCAGCCTGCCTCTCTGCTTGTCTATCTTCAGGGTAATTAACTTAACCCATCTGTCGCCAGAGATTGTGGAGCACAGCGAACCGATGCAGGTCGTCCGCTATGACCAGGGAGGACATTACCATGCTCATATGGATAGTGGACCAGTGTTTCCTGAAACAGCCTGTAGTCACACAAAACTGATTGCCAACGAAAGCGCTCCCTTTGAGACATCTTGCCGGTAAGCCTAGAAACTGAAGACAGAAAAGGTTTCTGTCTTTCCTTGTAACAGGAATTGTGTGTTGCTTTTAGGATAACAAATATTGTTCTTTTTCTTACAGCTATGCGACAGTACTGTTCTACTTAAATAATGTGACGGGAGGAGGCGAAACTACTTTTCCTATTGCAGATAACAGGACTTACGAAGAGTTGGTAGGTTTGTCTTTCTATGCAGTGTGTATTGGCTGTTTCTATAAAAAATTATTTATTCATTTGGCTTATATTTCATATTTCTACTCAGTTAAGTTCTCAAAGAAAAAATAACAATAAAATTCAATAAATAAAATAAAAAACTCAAATCCAAACCATTCCTTTCTGTGTCAGACAGACACAGAAAAGCCTCTTCGGTAAAACTCTTCTGTCGGACACATTGGAAATAGGAAAGGTGCTCCCTAGATCAAAGGTCCCCAACCTTTTGGGCACCAGGGACCGGTTCCGTGGAAAAAGGTTTTTCCATGGACCGGAGAGTGCATGGTTTTGTGTGCTGCTGACATCCCATGGATGTGGCTTTGCTTGTTTGTGCGGACCGGTTGTTGGCATGCCGCAGCCCAGTACCGGTCCAGAGACTAGGGGTTGGGGACCCCTGCCCTAGATAATCAAGTTCTCAGCATTTTAGTGCTTTAAAAGTGAATGGCACAGCTATAAATGACACTCTGTAATTGCACATCTTTCAGCATAAGATCAGCAGATCAGCTACAATATTTTATAGTAAATGCAACTGGCAGATGCTTTTTAAAGATAACCCATTGTAGAGAATATTGCAAAAGATAAGATAGATCAAAATTGCCAAGCCAGTTGGCTGAGGAACAATAGCAACTGGACCATGGCTGTAATTATACAGGTGCACTTCTCATCCTAGCCATCAGTTGAGGATCAGGAATCGTTCCCAGGACAGGCTTGTGCTTTTAAAGCAGTGCAACTGAGCAGCTTCATATAGATAGGAAGCAGTATGGGAACAAGGTGGAATCCAGTCAGACAGCAAAGGTCAGTTGAGAGTTATCCATAGCCTCAGTTTTAGAACATGGCCCAATAGGAAGGAATAGAACCACCGTAAAACTATGTCCCAATGTGTAATCCCACAGAAGGGTAACATTGATTGCATTGAAAGCCACTACAGTATTCAGGAGTGGTCTGTACTGTCCCATCAAGTTTCCGGAATTATCCAGTCAAGACAGCCTTAGTATCACATATCCCAGCCAGAAGCACAATTGAAATACAGTAGATAATATATATTAATCAGATGCAACTGTTATTTTTCAACCACTTTTCCTAAAAAATGAAATGTTTAAGATTCACCTTACTTCCCAGATTAAAAAAGGTTTTTTAGTGATCCCCTGCTGCTTCTTTAGGCAAGAGGCAACATTTTCCCCATAAGTATTGTCCCAGAGCAGTTTACAACAGATTAAAATCACACAAAAAAATTACAGAGATCTAAACTAACCTTAATTTGCAATTCCAGTAAGTTACCAGGAATTCTCCACTGGATAGTGGAGGTATTTATTCTGAATAACCATGCAAAACAGGGTATTGGAAGTCAGCTGTTTAAATTTTATTTGGACGTGTTTTGAAGCAAGAAGCTTAGCCTACATTAGTAGAAGTAAGAAAAAAAAAAGCTGCTGGCCAATAAATTAGGACCTTTTTTATTTAGTTAAAAAGTTTTAATTGCTAAGCTAATTCAACACTATGGACTTAGTTAAAATATCATGAGATGTTTATTGCTGTTTTAATGGGAGATCTCTATATAAGGTGGAATATATAATGGCAATTGAAGAGGTCCTTTTATAGATTTCCCGAGGAACATCCTTTTTATACATTCCCTAATGAGCACCCTTTCTTCAGTCTCTAATCCAGAATGATGTTGACCTACGTGATACTCGAAAGCATTGTGACAAGGGAAATCTACGTGTAAAACCTCTGCAAGGCACTGCCATTTTCTGGTATAATTACCTGCCCGATGGGGAAGGTAAGTTTCTTCCTGAGGCAAAACCGATAACAATCTTCGTATTTTTATTTATTTCATTTATTGATTAGATTTTTATGCCGCCCAACTCCCCTACAAGATGACACCGCCTGGCTTTTATTTAATCCTTTGTTGGCTATTTTGGAAAGCTTAAAGCTGCAGAAAAGATTGAGCTGCAGTTATGTGAAGGTGATCCCTGGAATCTTGTTTCTCTGCAGGCTGGGTTGGCGATGTTGATGAATATTCCTTACATGGAGGCTGTTTGGTTACTGAAGGAACCAAGTGGATTGCCAACAATTGGATTAACGTTGATCCCAATAAAAGGCGACAGCTCCAGTTCCAGGAGGAAATGGCTCGATACATCAACAGTGAAAACGAGGACCAAAGCGAATGGACTGTGGACAAATCCTACAGCAATGTGCATGTAGAGCTGTAATGTTTGGAGATGCCTCTTGGCTGAGTTGGAAGCACCTTTTTTTGCACTAGCATTTTCAGCTCTTCTATTCTCCCACATTTCCCAACTATTATGTTTCTTCAGAGAATGTAGGGTTGCCTATCTAGGTGGATTGGGGAAAGGAGAAGCAGGGCCCTTAAGGCAGTCTGAGGGAAAAGGGATTATTTGGAGAGAAGGGACAACGGCTGAGGGCATCTTTTGATTTAACGGCTGGCTTTGCCGAAGGAGATTCCGAGTCTGTCCGTGAATCTTCCCTGTGACATATGCAATCTACCTTCGAAGTTCCTTATCATCCTGACTTGTTGTGTTGAATACATTTTCCTTTTGGCTGGTTTTGTAACTGTAATCTTGTAATCTGCCCATCTTTCCTTCTGTTTCAGTTTCTCGGTCTTTCCAGGTAACTGATACACCTTACATAAGGGCAGTAAAACCCACATCAGCAAAATGATTACTGCATATTCTAAGGTTGCTCTGTAAAGAGTGAGATGATCACTCTTAGCCTGTATGGGCATAGATCAGTAAAGTGATATAGAGGTTAAGATGTTGGGTGAAGACTAAGGAAACTCAAGTTCAGGTTCACGCTCTGCCTTGGAAGCTCATTGGGTAACTTTGGGTCAATTTTTCTCAGCCCAACCTCCCTCTATGAGTGGCAGTTGTGGGGATAAAATGAAGAGAGATCTGGCTTGGTTGTCTGTGCAAATGGGGGGGGGGATAATTCTAATCGATCCAATTGGACTGTGCATAGTATATGTATTCAGCAGTAAGCAGACTCCCAAGTAAAGGTGTATATGATTGCAGGCTTCAATCCAGCGTTATGCAAAGGGGTCTTGGGCATGTCTTATGTTAAAAGAACATGCAGGGACTAAAAGTACTAGGGGCCTTCCATGGGATGGTGTGTGCTGATCATGGACATTTTTCTCAGGGTTGGATATAGTTCTGAATTACTATTCAGAAATATTTATACCAGTAATTATCAGGGAAGTAAGGGAACGGTTAATATGTGCAATTGGAACGTGTCTGTTGTATGTGTTGCCAATGTTATTTCAGCCATTTTATTTGTGCGTTTGAGAAGTTGTTTACCTACGGGAAACCGTTTGTTCTGTTTAGTTTTTTTTTTATTTGAGGCAGTGGCATAGTAATATTCCTCCTAGAAGATAAATATGTATTTAGATATGAAGTATGGAACCAGCAAGGTTCTCAGTTATGAATAAAAAAAAGTGCTCTACAGGATTAGGTTTAAGGTATATGCAGATCATATACCAGTGATGGCGAACCTGTTAGAGACCGAGTGCCCCCAAACTGGCCCTGCCCCCACTCCACCCCCTGCCCCACCCCTGCCCTCTCCATCCCCCACCCTGCCCGCACTCACCGCCTCCAGGGCCTGTCGCAGATTGCCCAGGCAGCCCAGCAATGCCATGGTGGCCACGTCCTCTGGCTGTGCCCCGCAGCATCAACTGTGTGGGATGGGGTGTGAGGGCAGAGTCTTGTCTACGCTGTCTGGCTGCCATGTCCTTGGCTGCGCTGCTCTGTGTGGGCCACGCTCAGGGGCAACTCTCCTCCAGGGGGGGCTGCTGGTGAGGGGGTCGTGGGGGTAGGCGAGGCTGAGGCAACGGCACATGTGCCCACAGAGAGGGCTCCGAGTGCCACCTTTGGCACGCATGCAATAGGTTCGCCACCACTGTCGTATACTTTGGGCTTAATCATATCATATATTCTCATGAAATTAATAGCACTTTTCCACTGTTCCTCTGCATTCAGGGAGATACTGTCTCTGAATGAGGGACTAGATATAGTAGTCAAAGGTAAGAGTATCTGGTAGACCAATCCGAAATAAATTTAGCTCCATTTTAAATCTGTCCAATAAGCAGCCTGGCTAAGCAGCATCTTGGACTGTGAACCACATTGTCTGGAATATATACTGTTCCTCCTAATTTTTTTCTGACCAAGAGCTCTCAAATACAATACAGGTAGTCCCCATTTAGCAACTGCCTCTTTTAGCAATCGTTCGATGAAAACGTAACAATAAATCCCCTCATTTACAGCCTTTGCAGGTCTGTGAAGCAAGGGAAAGCTGAGGTAAAATCATATATACAATTGAGATTTCACTTAGTGACCGCTTTGCTTAACAATTAAGTTGCTGCTCCAGTTGAGATGGCCAAACAATTGTTAAGTGAGTCACTGCAGTTGTGAAGTTAATAACACAATTGTTCAGTGAATTTGGCTTCCCCCTTGACTTTGCTTATCAGGTTGCAGAAGGTGATCAGGTGATCCCAGGACACAGCAGCCGTCATAAATATGAGTCAGTTGCCATGCATCTGAATTTCGATCACATGACCATGGAGAGGCTGCAACAGTCATGTGAAAAATGTTCATAAGTCACTTTTTTCAGGACAGTTATAACTTGAAACGGTCACTAAGTGAATTATTGTAAGTTGAGGACTACCTGTAGTGATACTTTTACTAATAAGTGTCAGTAATAAAATGAAATGGCATTAAACCAGGAGACGCACTGCATTTTACCACAGGAGAATGCCAGTTCTTGGCAAATATCCTCATTTTTTGTACAAAGGCTGGAATTAATTGCCTTTTTTTCTTTTTTTCTCCCCTCTTTGCTTATTGGGGAGACTGAAAAAGGATTTCCAGTTACAGAATTCTTAAAGGAATTTGGACATCTTGAGTTGAATCAAGCTGCAGGTTTGATAGACTGATAGTCATTAGTAGCCTGCTGCAGAGAACAGGAATGCTTTTGCTTTGCCTTAGTTCACATTTAAATCACAATGAGTAGATTTGTCTCTTGTGTAGCTCAGCAGAGCAATGGTTGGTTTTGATTTGAGAAAACTAATACTGTAGTGAGCCTTCTAGCCTGCTGAGAAAATGAAGCGTGTTTCCCATCTCCTGTTACGTTTTGACAAAACTTCTATTTGGTGATTAGAGGAACGTATTTTAAGGCTCAATCTGGTGGTGGTTATTTTGCCCCAGTGCCTCCATTGCAATATGAACAGCATTAAGTGGTAGGATATTTGCATGCCTCAAGACTTGCCCTTCCTACCTATAGCCTCACTGAGGTAGAAATCCGTTGTTATTGTGATTGTTGCATATGGAATCAGTTTGTTTCTTCCAGTGAATCTCATTCCAAGCAATTAGAAGTAACCATCTCTAATTTTATTGGAGCTCTTCAATATTGCCTTAGAGAGTTGCATAGCATGTTGTCTCCTTAAGCTAAACATAGCTCACCCACCATGTTATGTAATTTGGCAGATGTTTGACAGCACTCTGGCTAGTCAATTTTTGTAGTCCCTGGCAGACAAAACCCAAACCCTGGGTGCTTATGTGTCACTTGGTGGAAAACTAGTTATGTAGCTCTCCTGTTCTGTTAGCGTGTTTGTGATCAGGTGAACAAGTTGCAGAATTTTTCCAGACGATACCTGAAGGATCAAGCAGTGAAAAATTTACTCCAATCCTCAGCAGTGTACTCTCAAATGTAATGGATTTCAGTGCAAATTACTTCCATGAAAAATATTTACGATTGCAGCTTGATTATAATTCTGTTGCAATTTTTCATCTGTGAAAAATTTAGCTGCTTAGTAACTTGTACCCTGAAATGTCTTGGGTTTCTAGATGTGGCCTTGATTCAAGAAATGTCACTTAACAGATAGTTTAATAAGTCATTTAAATATTTTATTAATTCCTTTTTAAGACCCTTAAAGCTAGCATTCGTTCATGGGTTCGATTTTCACAAAATACTTCTGAAATGCGAATAGATTGGATGCAAAATGGACACCACCAGCCTCCCTGTCTTGCTTTTTGTATGTGGTCTTTGGGATCTAATGTCATATATGAGTTTTTTCAAGTAGCAGAGATTATCCCAGAAAAATTTAGATATGTTGTAAGGTGTTAAAGAGCCGTCAGTAAGGTTGGGTATCTGATGGCGCTTTGTGACTGCAGCCTACACAAAAAAAAAAAAAACCTCTTGCCAATGTATGAATGCTTTAAACAGCTGCATGGCTTGAGAATAGCCTGGTTCTCTAGCTTTCAGGAAAGTACAGGATTTGTTGGGGCTCAATCACCTGCACTGAACTGAATGGCATTACAACACTGGTTTGTGTTATTGAATCATGTTCTTTATTATCCAAAGGGTTGTCTTGTATCCATAGAAAGACTTGAACTTCTTAGTAATTGTAGCTAGTTTGAATGATGTGGTTTTGCCAGTTCCATATTTGTAGGTAACTGGTGAATACTGAGCATTTTATTTTTATTTCTGTGTGTTTCCAACAATTCTGCATTTTGGATACTTTTTTCCTTATTTAATATTTATTTTATTTATTGTGTCCCATGCACTGATGACAGGCTGTCAGTCCTGCAAATAAATATTTGAAACCCATGTTTCGTATGTGTAACAGTCTCCACATCTATAAAAGATTTTATTCTCTGAAGGGGATCAATAAAAATAGCCCTATTAATGCTGACATTCTTCAACATATAAGCAGTTTCTCCTATCTGGTGCAATGATTCTATTTTCTAAATTTCCCTGTAACACTAACATTTATTACCACAATTTATCTTTTAAATTAGCTGTCACACCTGCTTTTTTATGTGATGCACACATACACAGAGATAATGCTAAAGGCAGAAAATCAGTGTAATGCAGTATCCCAAGATGAATGTAGAGATCATCTTTTGCTGAGGGAAAAAGGAAAATGGCAGAACAGGACAGAGAGATTATTAATCCGTTAACAAAAATAAATGGCAAATAATAAGAAAATAGTTGATTGTTAGTAAAAATAATCTTTTTGAAACCAAATACATTATTATCCTGTTCAAACATAAAAAGGTTTAATATTCCATAAAAATGACTACTTTAATTTACCTATTCTCATCATAGAACAATTAAGGTCAAGAAAATGATTGTATTTTTACAACCTTCAGACAGTTTCTATGACAGTAAAAATCCTTCATTACAAAGTTGCTTTTAAATCTTCAGATAAAATAAATATGGCTAAAATTAACAACTGAGTCGTGGTAATGCAGTGGTTATAGTGCAGTATTGCAGGTTAATTCTGCTGACTACCAGGAGTGCAATCAAGGGTGATTCAGCCTTCCGAGGTCAGTAAAATGACCCAGATCCCGGGTCTTCAAACTTGGCCCTTTTATGACTTGTGGATTTCAACTCCCAGAATTCCTCAGCCAGGCACACTGGCTGAGGAATTCTGGGAGTTGAAGTCCACAAGTCATAAAAGGGCCAAGTTTGAAGACTCCTGACCCAGATTATTGGGGACAATATGCTGACTCTGTAAACCGCTTAGAGAGGGCTATAAAACACTGTGAAGAGGTATATAAGCCTAAGTGCTATTATTATTGCTATTAAAGCACAGGATACATAAATAGGAACTATGCAAGGAATCTGGAAACTGATCTATATTAAAGAGAAAGAATTACCCAGGAATAAAAACCCATCCTGGAGGGGGAGAAAAAAAAACTATTGTGTTTATGAACCAATAGCTTGATCTTTTTCCTCTGAAAACTGAAAAAAGTTTTTAATAACTTTTTAAATCCTTCTAGATGTCCATTATCAATTGAATCAACCTTTTGACAATCTGAATGTTTGGAACACGGGAGGAAGGAAATTAGCGGCGGTGTCGGCATCTGACTCTTTTGCCCTCTGCAAGTTGCTCCTGCTCTTCCCGCGCGTCCCTTTTCAGACAGGCTCGCTCCGATCTCGAGGTCCAGCTGTTTCGTTGCGTTCCGGAATACTTTCCTGGGGCCGCCAAATCCCACCTTTCGGCGGGCAGCTGCGCCTTTAAGAAAAATGCTCCTTCCCCTTCCCTACAATCGAATCTCACCCAGATAAGGACCACCTTAGCAACCACCGGCCAATGGCGTCTCTTCGCGAAAGGGAAGCGGGAACGAGCCTCCCGAGGCATACCCAATCGGTAGCGGCGCGCGTGTGAAAGGTAAGGATTCTAAAGACCTCTTAACTCGCGAGATTGTTACACGAAGGCGCCGCTGCGTTACTTTCTTTCCTCCTCCGCTGATTTGTTCCTTGCTCTGCTCGCCGTCCTCTTCCCTTGCCAGACGAAGCAGAAGAGTTCCGCACATTCCGATTTTGTATTTTGACGGGCCTTCCTCAGCCTGGCCTGCCTACGTCCTGGCTATACAGTTTTCCTGCTCTCTAGATCCCGGAACGTGGCGAAATGTGCTCGGCTCTTGTAAAATGAATTCTCCGGAAAAGCATACATCGGACGGGTGACCAAGTGGTACTTGCAACATTTTGCAGCAGACATTTATTCGGATTCAGTCAGCCTTCGTCAGTAGAGCCAGAACTTGGGGAAAACCAGATCTTCGGAAGCTGCAGGCTTCTCCTTTCTGCATTAGAATGTCTGCCTGTCTCGCATTCTTGATTAAGTCCCATCAAGCCGTTCACAACTCGCAGTGATGCCGAAGATCGATTCTCTTCTAGATGATCCTTCTTCAGCTTTTTGGTCTCCCGGTGGTGGATTTCACCTTGTTGCTGGTGGCCACCTTCCAACTTTCCTTGCGTCCGAAGAGCCAGGTCTTCACATAGACTAGTGTGTAAAATGCAATAGTTTGAACCTGATTATTTGTAGCTCAAGAGAAAATTCTGCATTGATTCTTCGCAATAGGCTTTTCTAAATCCCCACAGGCATAGTGGGTCCTCTTCTTTGGCAAAGACTCAAAACCACAACGCCTGGTCAAAATAGACACTTCTTTGTAAATACTGGGTTTACATTGGTTTCCTTAATATAATTAACAAAGTCTGTAGTTTTTGCATATCAGGACTTGATATTTTATTTTTAGTCCCCCACATGTTAACTTTTAATGCTCCTCTATAGACTTAATTTTCTGAAACACCCATTCAAAGATATTTCCCATTTAAAAAGTAAAGATTTATCTGGCTATCCAGAATTTACTTGGGAGCTGTCTTTCATAATCAAACATGTGGATTCTGCTTGGGAGGGGGGAAGGTTTCTTAGCTCTTCATGGTTCCTGTGTTGTACATCAAAAGGTAGCTTGTTCCCATATTTTAATATAATGATTCTGTTATATGAGACAAGTAAAAATAGAATTCCAAGGCAAGAGGTTTCCTTAAAGAACATATTTATTGGCTACAAAGTATCGGCACACTCAAAAGTGAAACCAAGACTGGAGTTCCCTCCCAAAGGTTACAATGTTACAAAGTTGAATTGCTCACCCAAGCACTATGTCACTAATCACATTCCCCAATAAACTACTTTGGCTGGCTTTCTAACTGAAGGCTCAGCCATCCAAAACCCAGGCAGCAATGACTTTGGTTCCCACAGGACAATATATTGTTTAGTCTAACCTTAAAATCACTCATTTCCCCCCCTCCCATTCCTGTTGCAACCGAAAACAAAGCAGAAATGGCTTCAGCCAAGATCGTTGCAGCGCTGACACCTGTTTGAGCTGATGTAGTTCTAAAGGATGAGTTAATCATTTTTCCTCTTTCCTACAGAGGTCTGCATAGCCATATATAAAAGGGAGAGAATCAGGAAGGGCTTTCATGGCCCATCCTTGAAAAGTCATGGAAAGAGAACTGCTATTGGCTCCTATAACAGCTCTGGAGATTGTGGGAGATCATCTTATAGCAGGTGAATATTTTACTTTTTCTACAATGGGGGACTAGAATCCCCACTTTTTTCCCATTTCTTGGTGATATGGTACATTGTCAGATGGGCCAAATATGAAGCCTGCTAATTCAGGGTTAACGACCATTTCGCTGTAGGTTGGTTTTAGAGTCAGTTTTCTGCTAAGCCAGACCAAGATCATTCTCCAAACCAAGCGGAAGCTGACAAAATATAATGGCCTGTGATTAAAGCCTAAAACAAGAGGGAAAGCAAATAGAAATCCTGCTTAGGATCAGTAAGAAATATGAAATACATTAATAGAATTCATAGGAATTTGGCAAATATTGTATATTTATGTGGATGGGCAATTCTGGGAAAAGAGACAGGTATTTTGATAGCAGATGAAATATGCTGACTTGGCCTTCTGGTGTTCATCTTCCTTTAGGAGAAGGACCCAGCATAGGTGTCTATAGTTTGGAGCCTGATGCCAGCCCATCAGCAAGATGCTCCAAGCAGGTCCTTCGGAACTATACTGTCCATGGTATTAAGGAGCAGCGGAGTTTGAGTCCCAGAGATAACAAATCCTCAACCCTGGCTATCTTTGGAGGCAAAAGCTTTGTGGTTGTAAAGCTCAGCTTCCAGAACAGCTCAGTGGAACTCAGTGAAGTCTTTCCTTTCTGTGAGCTGCACGACTGGATCTGGGACCTGCAGTGGATGGAAGGCAGGATTGAGATGTCCAGCAGTGTAGCTGTGGCCTTGGGACACAATTCAGTGGCACTATATGACTGCATCAGCCAGAGGGTTCTCCAAGAAGTGCACTGCCAAGAGAAGTGTATCCTCTATTCTGCCCTCTTGGTAGGGAGCTGCTGGGAGACGTTGGTTCTGGTGGCTGGCACAGTCTTTCATCAGTTGGTGATCTGGTGTGTGGCTGACCAGACAGATGACACAGGAAGAATAAAGCCCCACAGCAGGATCAGTGGACACAGCGGTGTCATCTTCAGCATTTGCTTCCTGGAGAGCAAAGGCATCCTGGCCTCTGCCTCTGATGACAGGAGTGTGCGACTCTGGAGCATCGGTGACCTCAGAACACCTCCTGCTCTGGTCCCATGCTTGCTGATGTGCTACGGGCACCAGTCCAGAGTCTGGTCAGTAAGACTGCTAAGGGACTACATCATCAGCATTGGTGAGGATTCAGCCTGTCTTGCGTGGAACTATCGGGGCAAGATTGTCCACAACTTCAAAGGACACAAGGGCCAAGGACTCCGGGCAGTGGCTGTGGATGAGGAGCGAGACTGGGTGTTTACAGGAGGAACTGATTCGGGCATTAGACACTGGTGCCTCAAGGAAAGAAGCACCACTAGAAACCGGCTCTGGCAGCTGAATTTTCCTTCCACTGACAGAAAAGGATCCCCCAGGGCAGTAAAACTGGTGGATGTAAACCATCTGCTGGTGATGACTGATGCCGGGGCTGTCTATTCCTGTGACTTGGCTTCTGAAGCTTGGGCATTGCTCCTGGAGGATGCTGCTTATCAGTCTTACAGTCTCTTAGAAGTGTCCAAGCTTGCCACTGGAGGCATTCTCTGTGCCATGGGCAATTTGTCAGGGCAGGTGAAAGTTTTTCCGTTCAGCAGTCCTGCACAAAGCAAGGAGTTAAACCTCTTTGAAGGGAAAGTGCACACTTTGACTTGGGCCACCGATCCAAACCAGAACCCCAATACGTGCAGCCTCTTTGCCTCGGGCCCAGCTGGGGCTTTATTGTGGCTGGAGGTCTCTTGGCACCTATTTGAGAGAATAACTGTGGTGGTAAAGCAATGTTTCCTCCTGCCAGCCTGCAAGCAGCGATGGCACACCTGCATTGCTTTTTTGCCCCAGGGAGAATTTCTGCTTTGTGGCGACCGCAGAGGCTCTCTTATGATGTTTGCCTGCAAGCCAACTCTGGGAGTGGAAAAAGCAAAAGGGGGAGGCGAACCTGGCAGCTCTACTTCAGAGATCATCTGTACCTTGCCTGGATTTTCCTTCCCTATTGGAAGTGGAGAGCCCCACGCTGAGAGGCCCATTTCTCTGCTTTTCGGGCTTCATGGGAAACAGGGGGTGACCTCTGTAACCTGCCACAGTGGCTTTATTTACAGCACAGGGAGAGATAGCTGCTATCGCCAGCTGCAAGTGCAGGATCAGCAGCTCCAAATGCTGAGGAAGCAAAAGCCGTGCAAAGACCTAGAATGGCTGGAAGACCTACGCTTTGGCCCTGATGGGAACCTGAGGGTGCTCGGCTTCCATGCTACCCACTTTGTAATTTGGAGTGCCAGCAGCAGTGAGAGGCTCCTCTGCATTCCCTGCGGAGGTGGGCACCGCTCCTGGAGCTATGCCCATTGCCTTTCCATGGAGACCTTTGCGTATATCAAATCTGGGGAAATTTGGTTGTACCAAAATAAAGCCTCCAGTGGGCAGCGGATCCTGAAAGCAGCTCTGCATGGCAGGGGGTTGACATGTGTGTGTCACATTGGTACCCTGGAAACCTCTGGGCGAGAAAGAATCAGCATTCTTGCCACAGGAAGTGAGGATAATACGGTGAACATTCTCGCTTTTAACGTGCAAACTCGCACGGTGACCCAGCTAGCGGCTCTTGGCGACCACATCTCCAGTATAAGAGCTCTGACTGTGGTCCAAAACGGCATTAGTCAGCCTGAGAGGGAAAAGATCTCCGTGATGCTTTTTTCAGCTGGGGGGCGAGCCCAAATTGAGTGTTATCGATTAACGCTCGGCCCTAAGCCTGGTTCCAGCAGCAGTGTAGCCTGTCAGCTGGTTCACGTCGCATCGCATCGCCTCGATGAGCATTGGGATTACAAGAAGAATAAGCACAAACTCATCAAGATGGATCCAGAAACCAGGTAGAAATAAATGGTCTTTCCCTATAACTGTATATTAAGACAACCTGAACTGGTGCTATGACTGATCCCCATCTACAAAGTATAAAACCTTGTTTAGCTTTGAGTCTAGGCTGTTGATTCTCTTTGTCATCAGCTCCTTCAATACTTGTATATGTAGTACAAGTGATCCTCATTTAATGATTGGTTGCAACTGTTTGACATTATAATGGGAAAGGTATTTATGACCCAATTTCAATGTTCCGACAGACACACATCTGCACAGACATACACATATACAGAGTGACATGATTTCATTTTGGGCACTTGGCAACTGGCTTGCATTTTTGACCATTTGCAGTTCACAGGATTGTAATTTTTGGTGTTTTTGCCCATTTGCAAAGTTTACCACCAGCTTCCGACATAAGCTCATTGGATAAAATGGACTGATTTAATGACTGCTACAAAAATGTTGTAAAATGGAGCATGGTCATGTGTTGACCTGCTTAATGGCTGTAACGATTTAGAACTATAATCTAGGCTCAGTTACAGTCGTAAGTCAAGATTTGCCTGTATTCATTTCTAATTGTCCTCCAGTGTAATTTTCATGACCATTTGGTTTTTTGCTTTTTTCACAAATCAGTCAGGTATTGCCTATAATAATAACTGATCTATAGAAGCTTCATCAGTTAAGGGGCAAAACCTATTGAGACTCTAGAAGTTGCATCAAAGCATCAAAACCACTGTGAGGTTTTCAACCTGCTTTGTGGTTTGTCTAAAATCTTGCACACCTCAAAAAATTGATTACTTAAATTGTCAGCAGAATTCTGCAAAATTGAATTTTGTCAGCAAACTTCTACAAAGTTGGAGGGGTATCTATAGAATACACACACCCACACACACACACACGTATTGAACATAGGGGAATCATCAGTATTTCATGAATAATCTTAAAACTGGTTTGAAAGGATATGAAAAGGGTCATATGATTTTTTTTTTACCAAAATGTCTGAACATAAAGCTTTCTCCTCCATATTTAAATCTTTGAAGGATGGAATGGCCCTGTATTCTCTGGAAATAGTAATATTTTAACACAGAAATGTGTGCATACCTTGATTTTGCAGTTCCTCGATAGAACTTATGACCATGCAGTTGCAACATACTGTCTGGAAAAATCTGGGAGCCAAAGTTCACACATCTTAAAATTCCTGGAAAACACTGGCCTAGACTGCTAGAGCAGACTTTTGTTCCAATTGTGGTATAGTATGTTTAGTGTGTGTCCAGTAAAGAGAACTGGTGAATCTATGATAGATACCAGACAGCAAGCAGCATGCTATTTTTTAGCTTGCATATGCATGTCTTCTTCTGTTCTGGAATACAAAGCTGACAGCAAATGAAACCCCCTGGAAGAAGTGACTGACTTGTGTGTTCCAGGTACATGTCTGTGGTGGTGCTTGCTAGGATAGAAGAGGCGGAATTGCCCGGTCCCTTGTGTTTCCTCGCTGCTGCTTGTAGTGATGGATCTGTCCGGTAAGGAAAATAATTCTGCTCCTCTTGTTGGGGATTGGGATGGATGGAATGGGCTTTGCTTGTCAGAGCAAATATAACCCAGAGATGGGGGAAGTAGGGCAAAAAAAGACAAAGTGGGGCAGATGCTGTTTACTATGAAGCCTTTTCCCCACATTCAGGCAGGAAATAGGAACAGTCTTAGATATTTAAAGAAGTTATTAGAACAGCCCATCTCACAGCAGTGACTCTAGGTGGTGTGCAAAGATTAAAATATCACGACAGTATAAATGCATGATACTTCAGGTTAAATAACCTTCCAAATAAAACTGCATCACCGATCGAATTCATCTAATTATCTCTCCCAAAGCCTGGAGAATCAGCCACTCTTCAAAGCCTTACAATAAGCTAACAGGAGCAGGGCCATCTGGATGTAAGATGGTTAAGGCTAAAACGTGATAAACAGTTGTAGGAACTGGGTATGTCTAGTTTAACAAAAAGAAGGACTAGGGCAGAGGCAGGCAACCTTGGCTCTTTTATGACTTGTGGACTTCAACTCCCAGAATTCCTGAGCCAGCCATGCTGAGGGGAAAGGGAGAGGTTTCCATGCTGAGCCATGCTGGCTCAGGAATGCTGGGAGTTGAAGTCCACGAGTCATAAAAGAGCCAAGGTTGCCTACCCCTGCACTAGGGTAACATGATAGCAGTCTTCTAATATTTGAGAGGCTGTCAGAAAGAAGAGGGGGGACAACCTATTCTCCAAGGCATCTGAGGGCAAGACAAGAATGGATGGAAACTTATCAGCAAGATCCAGCTTAGAACTAAGGAGAAATTTCCTGACAGTGAGAACAATTAACCAGTAGAACTGCTTGCCTTCAGAAGTCGTGGGTGCAGTGTCACTGGAAGTTTTCAAGAGGAGGTTGGACAGCCATATGTCTGGAATAGTATAGGGTCTCCTGCTTGGGCAGGGGATTGTACTAGAAGACCTCCAGGGTCCCTTCCAATTCTATTATTCTGTATCTCTGGGGTATTGGGGGGGGGTGTTTGCAGTTCCAGAGCTATAGAGAAAGCATGGCTCTGGAATCCAACAAAATGGTGTTGTTTGGTGAAAGAGACCTGGAACATGCCCTTCTTGATAGACCTGGTGGGGCAGGCAGAAACAGTGAGAGATTGCAAATTGCCATGTTAGGCTTTATAGATGGTGACCTTGAACTGGATTCAGAAGCCTACTTGGAGTCAGCTTAGCTCACAGAGCAGCAGCGTTATATCAGCATATCAAGAGAAACCCTGAAGAAACTGTGAGCTCTGTGTCCATTTAAGTGCCTGCTTTCCTTCTTTGGTAGACTGTTCCTGTTGCTTGAGAGTGCCAAGAAGTTGTGTCTTATAGCAGAATCCTTTCACCATCAGCACTGTGTCCTGAAGGTCGAGGCATTTGCCTACAAGATGGCTAGTGGGAGAAGGTAGGAAGAGCGGAGCAACGGCATGTGAGTGCATCTCCCTTGGCCAGGAGATGCTTGCATGAAGTTTGTTTGGAGCAGAGAATCAGACTGGAGAACTGCAAGAACTAATTTTAGGAATACCTCTTTCTTTTATAGGAGACACTTTATGGGCAGTGCAGCCACTGATGGGAGCATTGCATTTTGGGATGTTACTGCTGCCCTCGGCCATATTGCAGCAATAGTAAAGACAGGAGACATTCAGATGAAACCTCTAGGTAGGTGTCTTTTAGGTGCAGCCTAAAAAACGCCAGTGCATCCCTTGTCTTGTAAAGCTTCTCAGTTGGGGTTTCTGTTCATCTGAAGATACAGCTGGGCATTTGGATTGTGTTCAACTATTTCTCTCAATCTTGGGCCCTTTCAGCGTACTAGCTGTTTCTCATAATCCTACTTGTCAGGGAGTTGCGCAACCGGTGCCCAAATGGAGTCAGAGACGCTGACATGAATTTGTAGTTTTATATAAATAAATATATTTTATATTTACATATACAGCAAACAAGATAGTCAGGCACTTCACTACATCATGAGGTAAATCATGGGTGTCAAACTGCCGGCCCACGGGCTGTTTGCATCATGCAGAGGCCATGCCCACCCCAGCTCCGGCAATGCTAAAAAAGTCACGATACATCGCGACATGTCACGTGATGCAATGAGTTTAACACCCGTGAGGTAAATTGTCAGGTAAATTACAGAACAGCATATAGAGCACACAAAAGAAAAAAGGCCAGAAAAAGGGAAACTCCCATTTCTCATCCAGCAACCAATCATAACATAGAACAGATTGCTTCATGCAGGAGTCCACACCCTCCAACTATCAACTACAACTGGGTGTTCTGGCCTATTTTACACTTTACTGTTTCAGCTATTAAATTAAATATCTTAAGACTACACCACCTTTCCAATTAAAAAAAAAGTGCACAAGGAGCCAACAGTAAATTCTCTGCACAAAAATAACCAGCACCTCTGTTCTTTTCCAGCCCTGGAATCTCCAGTCCTGGCCATTCAGGCTCACAGCTGCGGTGTGAACAGCCTCCACATCCAGAAAACAGCCGAGAGACGCTTCGTAGTGATTAGTGGCAGTGACGACGGATCCATCTCTGTCCATGTTATTGATGCGAAGGCTGAAAGCGCTGTGGGCCAGGAGACCGCAGCCAGGGCTGGCATCCAAGTGGTCAGAAAAGTATCGAGGCTTTGCGCTCACGCAGCTCACGTGACAGGAGTGAGGCTCTTCCACCTGAACTTCCTCCTTTCTGTGTCAGCGGACCAACGCTTGACCCTCTGGAGTCTCTGCGAGGACAGCTTATCTTTCGTAGGGAGCAAATTCTGCCACGTGGCTGATGTGGCCGATCTGGAGTGTTGGGAAACCGAAGGGCACAGTTATCGCAGTGTGATCTGTGGTCAGGGGTTGGAAATCCTTTCCTGGAGGCTGGATGTGCAAGGCAGAGAAATAACAGGTGGGATCTGAAACAGCTTTATTTCACTGAAGTTCATAAAATGAAGGAGGACAACAGCAGGCATCAAAAGGAATTCTGCTCATAACATCATTTGTAGCAGGGTGAAAGGCGTTGTTGTCCTAATTGCACAAACCATCTGAGAGGGTTTGGATCTCAGGTCCTGAGAAGACTGCCTCACCCACTTCACAGGGCTGTTGTTGTGGGGAAAGTAGGAGGAGGAAGGTGTGTTGGATTTGTTCACTGCCTTGAGTTATTTGTAAAAACAATAAAGGCGGGAAATAAATAAATAAATAAATAATAGGCATTCTAGGGCAGCAGGACTTCCAGGGGCAGGAGAGATGAGTACCATGTGTGTGGGGTGTGTGTGTGTGTGTGTGTATTCCCCCCCCCCCGAACTCCAGTTTAGAACAAGTGGTTCCCAGAACTAAGGACTTTTGCCCTTCCCCATATATGCTAGACCAGGGGTAGGCAACCTTGGCTCTTTTATGACTTGTGGACTTCAACTCCCAGAATTCCTGAGCCAGCCTGGCTCAGCATGGAAACCTCTCCATTTCTCCTCAGCATGGCTGGCTCAGGAATTCTGGGAGTTGAAGTCCACAAGTCATAAAAGAGCCAAGGTTGCCTACCCCTGTGCTAGACTATCTCCATTAAGCCCCATACTCCAAGTTAGGATTCTTCTTTCATCAGTTTCTTTAGCCCTGGCATTTGTTGGGATACTGGGTAAATGATAAGACCTATGCTGGGTAGCATCTTTCAGACCTAGACTTATAATCCAGCATTTCATTCCTGGCTTGACTGTGGTTATGGATTCTCCAGAGCAAGATGCATATTTCATGACACAGCACAGTTATACCCAGACTCCTTTGGTCCACTTGGAACTAGCATAGGCAGCAGAATAATAACTTGATCTCTCCGTTGAAAAACACTTAATTTTGCAGAGTCTTCCACACCTTACAGATGCTACTAACTAATCCGGGATGCTACATTTCAATTCAATTCAGGTCCAGCCACAATTTGCTCCTGAACAAAATTAGGTTATCAAGAGATAGTATCCGTGGGAGTAATTGGTAGTTCCCTTCAGTGGGTCAGTCTATGGCTCGCAGCTCACCTTGCCTACAGCAAGTATCATTACTTACCCAGGTTGTATTGTAATGGCAAGTGTGACTTCTTCCTTTGGGAAGTGCCAGAACCAAACAAGAAATCACCTGCTGCTGAAAGAAGCAAGTGGACAAGCTAGCTGGAAAAGACAGGGAAATCCCTAGTACGCAATGTGATTTTATCTTATCCAAATCTTATCCAGGAGACCAAGGCAGCACATTTGGCATGTTCTCCCATTCTTCTCACAACAGTTACTGTTGTGGGACTATAACCAAATCAAGGTACTTATCTGATTCAAGTCCAGCGCTTTATTACTTAACCATAAAAGAAAAGTAGAGGAGAAAAATAATTTGGATCAGCTCAAAATTTAGTCCTCGAAGTCTAACAGATCTATCTAAGATCGATCTATCTAAGATTGGCTAGAATGCAAATCACTCATTGGTCTGAGGAAACAGTGGCAGTAACTAATGTCTAACGTTGACCACATTTCCCCAAAGAAGATGCCAAACTCGCTGCCCTAGACAAAGAACTGTGATATCAATTAATCAATACTAGCTGATGGGCACAAAAAATGCCATTATGCGATGGGCACATTAGGAAAAAAAGTATGAAATAAAAGTGGATAGCACACATTTTATTGCATTACTTTGTTCTCCTTATAATGCTATGGTTTGTGAGAGCTGATGCTGAGCAGTCTGTCTCTGCTGATATAATCTCAACCTTCTTTCCCTTGTCTTTTCATAAGCCATAGACCAGGGGTTCTCAACCGTGGCAACTTTAAGACTTGTGGACTTCAACTCCCAGAATTCCTCAGCCAGCAAAGCTGGCTGAGTAATTCTGGGAATTGAAGTCCACAAGTCTTAAAGTTGCCAAGGTTGAGAACCCCTGCCATAGACCAATACTTTGAATCTGAGCCTTGGTTCACCTTCTGATGTTTAGATAAAATGAGTACAACAGCACAGAAAAGCTTGTACAGAGAACCCTCGAAGAACTGTAGTCACAGATTTCCAGGTGTCTGCATTATTTTATTTACACATTCTTGCCCTGTTACTGGTATCAGTTTTTATTGCATGAAAATAAATGTTTCCGATTTAAGAAAAGAATTTAAAAACTTGTAAGTAAACAGTCATTTGCATCCATCAGTTTTATATTCATTTGGCGTAAGGATTCTTAACACTGTTTAAACCCAGTGCAGTCTGAAACAAACTTCAGAAAAAAAGAATACTTGCCTCTTTCTCTGTTCCATGACTGGAATTCATTATTTCCCAAGAATTTCAGAATCATTTCAGAGGAAATTTACATGTCCTGTTTTTATTGATTCAGAGCATTCATTTCAGCAACAAAATATGTATACTAAGTAGTTGTTCATTGGTCAGTTCAGTGTAACATTTCCACACTCTAGTCTCCCTCATAGGAATGTGCCCTCCATTTCCTCTTCACCAAAGGGAGGCTGATGCAGTTCCCAAGCACAGGTCTGAGACCAACCTAATCAGATCTGATTTAGAGGAGGTAGATGGAAGGTGGCCAGGGCACTGTGGAACACTTCCCTCACGGCTCTCATCAGCTGCAGGCGGGCAAACATCTGGCTGAATAAATGGGGACGTGGTTCCTGTGGGAGGCAGAAGGACTGTAATGATCAACAAATACAGCTTTCTTGTGTGTGAAGTTGAGGCTGGGAAAAAAAGGGATGAAATCCTTTCTTGTTCTCTCTTTCCTTTCTTTCTGTGGCTGTGTTTGGAAAAGATACATTTCACCATCCAGAAATGAGATACACAATACACAGCCATCATTGGGGGAAATTTCATTTTTAGTAACCAGTAAGAAGAAACTTTTGTGCTATGGGACTTCCCAATGTTATGAGACCTTTGGCCAACAGGAAGGGGAAATGCTATTGGAGTATAACATTGGCACTGCTGTCATCGCATCAAAGAAAAGGATTCTCACATGTAACAATTCGCTTGTAAAAATGGTAAAGGCAGCAGAAATCTTACCATTGCTTTAAGAAAAGCTTCTAGTTTTCATATAATGTTGTGGGGACAATGTGAAGAACAAATCTAAGCCTTTTGTCCTCAAAATTCTATCAGCTTCATTAGAATATTTGTAAAATATATTTATCAGTTGTTGTTTTTCTTGAGTATATTACATTTTTAGTAAATCTGGCCCACAGCCTGGGGTATTGTTGGGTAGTCTCCCACCTAAATTATGAACCAGCCTGTGGCTGTTTGGATTTTTTTTTCCAAGATCAATGCTGTCACCAACTGCCACACTTAGTACTGGAGGGCTCTTTCTCGTAGCCATTAATATTTGTTCCTTCAATCTTTGAATCAGCAAAAAAAATGCAGTCATAATTTGCTGTGCCCTGATAACTGAGCTTTGATTGCCTCCAAATAATACTAAAAACACATGGCCATACAATATCCCTTTTGATAGAAGAAAAATGTTTAATACACTAACAGGACAAAATCATCAATAAATCTCTATTGGTCAGAATTTCCACTTCTCTATTTTTTAACATAAAGGTTTGCCATTCTTTGAAAAGCCACTCTACACCTGTTGAACAACAGGTCTTGCAGTCTTCCAAAAGACTGGAATACCACCGTATATAAGGAGCTCACTGTATATACGAAGCCCACCAGAATATTGCTCTGCAAAGAGCAGATGACCCACATTACACGGGCAAATGCTTCCAGCTGTCCAGCAGTGAACCTAAAATCTCAATGAAGGACAACATCAGGAGAGGACGTGTCCATAGACCATAGATACTGAGGAGATGACATCACCCAGATTGTTCATGAAGTGTCATAGACCATTTGTATGCCAAGACAAATCTATTGCGAAAAAATTCTAAACTCAACTTTAAAACTGGAAGAGCTAAGGATGAATTCAGCCTTCCTCCATCGTGGGTTGGAAATGAGATAAAAGGAGTTTATCTTATAAACAATTTGTAGGAGTCTTCAAGCTATAGTTAACAGGACTTATAAGTCAGGTTAAATTATTCATAGTGCTTTAAGTCTCTTAATTGACTTACAGTAACTCATTATTTTTTTCTATTTACTATAATGAGAGGCATTAAATGGTGCCTTTTGGACTTACATTCTGAATGTTATGTATCTTCATATCCTTTCTAGAGCACTTACCCCTAGAATGTGCACTCGGTTGTAGTAGGAACTGAAATCCCTGCTTAGCTGAATCAGGAACTTACAAATCTATAACAAAAGCAAGACAATCACATTTCTCTTAGTGCAAATACCTTGGGAGAATGAAGGTTGCTGCCAGTTGGTGTCTAGGAGTTGATTAAACATTTCTCCAAAACTGCTATCTGAGACTAAATCAGATGCAATCTAATGCCCACCGTAGGAATTTAATAACTATCCCAATCAAAGCAGCCTCTCAAGTGAAAAAAATATCTCCCCTGTCTGGAGTCTGAACTTCAGCAGCAATTCATGTTTGAGGTTTGGCATAACATGCCAAAATTATTCCCCGACACATTGAAAAAATAAAAAAAGATGAAGGAAGAGAAAGGAATTACAACATTTTGCCATGCAATGTCCCAGCTTACCGCCTGCGTGCTAACTGTTATTCTTATCCCACCACTGGGGAGCAGGAACTGCATTATCTGGGTCAAGACTTCCTGGAAAGGCAGGATACTGTTGAATAACAAAAGCCATTCCCCCTAGGAAAAACACAGAGGCTTGGGTTTGTCCAACAGAATTCATTCCAAATGCTATTTCCATATTCCATATTCTAGCAGGTAGAAGCATCAACCTGGCTTCATTGGGCTCATTATTGAATAGGATGGGGAGAGTGGAAACCATGATTCCCTCCCAAAATATTTGTTCTTCCCATGTTTGAATAAAGTACTGGATCACCAATCTTTCTCTCAACACTCAGCTTAAGCACGAGAATGGAGGAAAAGAGTGGGGTGTCATAAGGCGGTATTGCACATGTGCTATGGGGAAGGAAGGCAGGAAGGAAGGAAGGAAGGAAGGAAGGAAGGAAGGAAGGAAGGAAGGAAGGAAGGAAGGAAGGAAGGAAGGAAAGAAGGAAGGAAAAAAAATCTGTTCCAAATTGCAAAGTAGGAGGGAAATGATCTTTTTATGTTTAAACATTTATAGTATACAAATGAGGGAAATGATCAACCAAGGAGACTCCACTTCAGCAGCCAACGTCTGTGAGATAGATGTTCCCTCTTACTGTGATATACACAACAAACTAGAACAGTGGTTCTCAACCTGTGGGTCAGGACCCCATTTGGGGTCGAACGACCATTTCACGGGGGTCGCCAAACAAGGCTGTCCGCCATTTTTTCCCCCTTTTCTTTGGCAATGCCCCTGGCACCCGATAATGTATAAGTGGTTGGGGGTCACCATAACATGGGGAACTGTATTATGGGGTCGCGGCATTACAAAGGTTGAGAACCACTAAACTAGAAGATCATATACACTGATCATGGAAGGCAAATGACTGGGACCTATTTTTTTATTGGGGAATTAGGTAAAACAACCTCCTATCCTGAAAATGAAGTTTTCATTTCCAACACATTGTATTCTTCAACTGAATCCAGAGAAGTCTCCAGGTCTGGGTCTTTGTAATTCTTTGCTCACCTCTTCCCTGAGAGAGGAGTAGTTCAGTTCAGAAGATTGGGGAAAGACTGGATACAGACCTAAATTGGATGGCAGATATTACTTACCACAGTAAACAAGAAATGTAATAAGATTAGTCAGAGTTGAAAACAAAATTAGTTAATGCACTGTAGTGGCACAGTGGAAGATTGGTGAGGACCTGCTAGTATGATCCACTCTTTCCTTATGTATCTATAAGATAAATACTCTAACAAGTAATTGCAAATTGTGTGCAACTTAGCAAGCTTTCTATTACAAACTCCTCCACTTGCACACTTAAAATTTCTTACAAGCATTGCAGATTGCCTGACTGTATTGCAAACCACTCTATATTTATACTGCTGTACGTAAACAATTAAGATAAAGAGGCGATGAGTTCTGTTATAAATATTATCACAAGTATGAACATCTTTAACAGAGGCTGAATTATCTGGTTCCCAACTTTTAGCAAGATATCTTAATACCATATATTCCGCCGTATAAGGCGACCCGGCGTATAAGACGACCCCCGTCTTTAGCGCCGAGTCACATGCCTAGAAAGTCGTCTTATACGCCAGAAACTACCATTATTTCCGGTGTATAAGACGACTCGGCGTATAAGACGACCCCCAACTTCGGCGCCGATTTTAACGCTTGCGAAAGTCATCTTATACCCTGGAAAGTACGGTAGTCATTCCTAGGAGTTGTCTTCTTGTCTAGAGATCCTGTTATATTTAAAATATCCCTGGCAGTGAATCACCTGTTTAAATTACGACTGAGACACTGATCAAATGTACCACTAAGCCATATCCAGGTGTTATTTTTTTATACTCCTTACCTCTTAAGAAAAGGACAAAAAGTCCCCACACTCTTTAAACCTCAGTGACATCTCAAAGACTCAGGAAAACAACTCACAACAGACGGTTCAAGAGAGTTCATCCACTGCCATTTCTTGGTGGTCAGCAAGCTGAAGAGACAGTGACTAGTATATAGATATTCCTTGAGTTTTCACTGAAACTGAGTTTGGAATTATAGTGGTCGTTAAGTAGATCAATGTGACCATGACTGATTTTATGACCTTTTTGGCAGCAGACATTAAGCAAATGCAGCATTCATTGAATCCATTATATCCAATGATATAATTATGATTACGTGACTGCGGGTTGCTGCAAACGGTTGCCAAGTGCCCAAAATGCAATCACGTGACCATGTAGAGGGTGCAGCCATTAGAACTGAAATTACGTTGTAAGTATCTTTTGAGGGGT